AGGCAGTATGAGTAGTGATTGTGTGCGTGTGCATGTATGCGTATATATATATTTATTTATTGAATATTTTTAAACGAAGAATTTTATTTGATCATTTCAATGTTTAACTTATTTGTGAGCTCTGAGAGCTAACCATAGAACGAATGGTCGTCATAATCAGTCAGTACGTGTTCGCTGATTTGTTGTGCCATATTTATTTCTAAATTATTCTCTGAATTCGCCGTGCGATTGGTTGCTTTCAGTCAATGTGATCTTTGGCTGTTCACTTTCGCTTATTGTAAGCGTTGTTTATTTTAATGCTGTCAGCTCGCTTGGATGAAATTGTCATCTTCTCTTTCCCGTAGTAATCATATATTGATAAGGACTAGTGAATAATTATTTGACTATTGCACAAATAGCTCGAGCAAATATCTTGGCCGATTAGTTGCTTGTTTCGGCTTGTTGGATTTTTTTTGTATTGCATTATTTCACAGAATTTGCCGGTTGTTTAAAGTTTGCACTGTAACGCAAATGAAATGTTTAAGTTATTTTCATTGCAAAATCGAAAACGCAAACGTCTTTAAACCATCTAAACTTACTGAAACTCATCATCATCAATATTGACTTGAATAAATAGATAGTAGTTACATACACACAATGCGGAACAGAAACATGAAGAAGACGTATTTTATTGAAACAATCCATTTGAAATGCGCTGAGATTGTGTTAATTAATCAAAAGTTTGAAGACGAAAAAATGAGTATTTAATAGAAACGAAATAAGATCAGAAACATTTCAAATTATTAATATCTCAGCATGTAATAAAAGTATACAACAACACATGAAGAGTATGGAAATGTATGCATTATCATGAGCAAGAACAATACAATAGAATAGAATAAGTGAGTGAGCAACAGAGTCAAAAGTATCAGCTGAACATGGAGTTCGAAAATGGCAATTCAAAAAGAGGATGTGGGGGAGTTTTTTTCTGAAAATAGTTTGGCTGAATAAGGAAAAAATATCTACCGGAATTGGTAACTATTAATGATGATAACGATAATAACTATGTAGAGTTGTTGATGATCGTGACGATCATGATAAATTTTGATTTTATTAATGAATTTTTTTCTGTTTTAAGAAAAAAAAATCTTCCGATTGCTTGCCACTTACTACTTAATCATTCTTTCAAGAAGTGCTGAAAGTTTTCGTTGAAAAGTTCTTTAAATTTTTCATTTTATTTTACTTTTTTGAATTGTTTTTTATTTCATTCATTATTTTGTTCCTTCTCTTTCCGTTCATTCAAATTCTATTTCACTCGTATTATTGTTATTTATTTTCCTTTCATCTATGTGATTTCATAGTGAATGTGAATTCATTCTCACTCATCGATGAACAACTCGTCGTTTGCATTTTCTTCCGCATCAACATCATTCCTCTTCAGTATTGTTGACTCTACTGTTGTTGTATCGATATGCACGATACTGTTATTGATGCGGCTATTGTGCATTCATTTCTTGGGATTATTTCGAACGGCTCATGCAAACCGAATATGCTTATTTTTATGCGTATATCCATTTCGTCTGATTGTGATCTAGCTGATCTTTGATCTGGTCGTGTTTTTCATACATTCGTTTGAATTGTAAGTGTGTTTTCCGTAAGGAAAATTTAGAACGAGTAAGGTGAATTTTTTTCAAGCAAACGAAAAAAATTGCTGCAACCAGTTGCTTTTTCTCATTCGATTCAAAATTTAATCATTCTCACGTTCATTCCATCGTTTCCACTGCAGTCCTTGTGTACTACTACTACTGCTTCATAGACATATACTACGATTTTTTATGGGGTTAAATTTTGTTTTTTGTTTGGTATTTTAAGGAAGGTTGACAGTAGACGGGAAGTGGTTCTTCCATAGAGTGATTGAGCATGTCTGTTAAACTGTTAATTGGTCAGCATTATTTGTGGTAATAATAATAACAGTATCATCGTCATCATCAACTTTTTGTCAGTTAGAGTTGAATGAGGATCATCCATCCATCTGTCCGCACAAGAATTAACCTCATTCAGTTGACAAATGAGCAAAATGAACAATTAACTCATCTTAGCGGTGGTTGACATCGGAACCGATGGAGGAAATGAATATAACGGAACTAAAAAAGGCTTTTTCCGGTCGAAACGGACACGGAGTTGACGTGAACTGCTAACAGTAAACGAGAAGGCAACTTTGAAAAAAGAGAACCGTTAACAAATTTAATAATTGAATGAGAATTGTTAACTGCGTATGTGGATGTTGGGACTGTTGTTGTTGATGATGAATTATATTTTAAAAAATCAGTGAAGAAGAAAAAGTGGTATGAAAGAATGAATGAAGAGTAATGCATGTGAGAAATTTGAATGATAATGATAAGGATAGTGATATTGATGACTGTAGTGTTAACTGAATGGTAAACGTAGATAGTAGGGAGTTATGGCTAGAAAACTGAAGGATCGATGGCAGAAAAGGAGGATAGATGAACGGTTGGGAGGAGGAAATGAATTATTTCTTCATTGTTTAACCGGTTTCTTTTCATTTTTGAATTAAACAAAATTTTTTAAACTAAATTAAACAAAACACAACTCAACAAAACCAATTTAAACTGAAACTGTTCAAAAAATTTTCGAATGGCTCGAATTTTTGTTGTTGTTCTAAAAAGTTAGATAGATGGTTGGATGGATGGATGGATGGATGGATGGATGGATGGATGGATGGGATGGGATGGGATGGGATGGGATGGGATGGGATGGTAGATAGATAGATAGATAGATAGATAAATTCAATTTTATTTATTTAAATTTTTCTTTCATTCTTACTTCTTCGTCTTACTAAATTTTTATTCATCGTTCATTTATTTCACTATTTTTCCAACAATCTTTTGTTATTTTCGTCACCCTTGCCATTACCATTTTTATTTTTCATTTCAATGCCTTAAATCAGTTGAAATGATAAAAAAATTATCATTCATTAATTTTGTCCACAACAAGTGCAAATAGCATAAACACTTCGTCGAATAGATAGATCATTTGCAGGCCATCTTTCAGCTAAAACACTGTTGCAGCAAGCTGTACTCTCTCTTTCCAAACCTATTTCTTCTGTCTCGTCATTCCATTCTTATCTGCAACTTCACCGACTCCAGTTTGTGCTCCAACCAACAATCAGTCATTTTTATAACTCTTTACGCATTACTGAAATGACTGTTGCTGCTTGCTGGTTAGTTAATCGGTTTTTTTTTTTAACGATCGGCAACAATCAACTGGATTGTAAGGATATCTGTGATCTGAATGCATTATTCTATGTAGACATTCTTTGGCTGTGGAGAGACTTCCATGATTTTATTTAATGATTTTGGATAGAGCATATTCGAAGTAACGTATTGGCTGCAATCTATTTTTTGAGTTATTATTTTCATTATTATTATTTTTATTTTGACTACTACTATTATAATAATTATTATTTTTATTCTTTTTATTATTATTGTCATTATTATTATTATCGTTATCGTTGTGGTCATTGATCTAAATATTGGTATCATTTTATAGTAATCAATAGTTTTTCTTCTTTCGTACATTATTTTTATTGCTTTGTTGTTACATGCTACAAATTCATTTGCCGTGGAGCACAATAGTAATCATACTGATAATAATTTTGCGATTTTAATATGTAGAGCGGATTGATTGTAAGGCGTTAAAATTAAGTTGATTTATGAAGTTAAATAAAATTAGAAATAAAACAAAAAATGGGATCAAATGCACTTCATGAAGTTTGTAACATTTAGCAGTTGTTCAAAAACAACGTTAAAGCTGTGGTTAGGACGAATAATGAATATAGCAAAAATAATAATAGATATTTCATTCTATGAAATGATTTAGATATATATATATATATATATATATATATATATATATATATATATATATA